ACAATTATAACAAGTAGGACTGAGTGCTTCCCTCTTAACAGACAGACAATTATAACATGTAGGACTGAGTACTTCCCTCTTAACATACAGACAATTATAACATGTAGGACTGAGTACTTCCCTCTTAACATACAGACAATTACAACATGTAGGACTGAGTACTTCCCTCTTAACATACAGACAATTATAACATGTAGGACTGAGTGTTTCCCTCTTAACATACAGACAATTATAACATGTAGGACGGAGTGTTTCCCTCTTAACATACAGACAATTATAACAAGTAGGACGGAGTGTTTCCCTCTTAACATACAGACAATTATAACATGTAGGACTGAGTGCTTCCCTCTTAACATACAGACAATTATAACATGTAGGACTGAGTGCTTCCCTCTTAACAGACAGACAATTATAACATGTAGGACTGAGTGCTTCCCTCTTAACATACAGACAATTATAACATGTAGGACTGAGTGTTTCCCTCTTAACATACAGACAATTATAACATGTAGGACTGAGTGTTTCCCTCTTAACATACAGACAATTATAACATGTAGGACTGAGTGTTTCCCTCTTAACATACAGACAATTATAACATGTAGGACTGAGTGTTTCCCTCTTAACATACAGACAATTATAACATGTAGGACGGAGTACTTCCCTCTTAACATACAGACAATTATAACATGTAGGACGGAGTACTTCCCTCTTAACATACAGACAATTATAACATGTAGGACTGAGTGTTTCCCTCTTAACATACAGACAATTACAACATGTAGGACTGAGTGTTTCCCTCTTAACATACAGACAAGTATAACATGTAGGACTGAGTACTTCCCTCTTAACAGACAGACAATTATAACATGTAGGACTGAGTGTTTCCCTCTTAACATACAGACAATTATAACATGTAGGACGGAGTGTTTCCCTCTTAACATACAGACAATTATAACATGTAGGACTGAGTACTTCCCTCTTAACATACAGACAATTATAACATGTAGGACTGAGTGTTTCCCTCTTAACATACAGACAATTATAACATGTAGGACGGAGTGTTTCCCTCTTAACATACAGACAATTATAACATGTAGGACGGAGTGTTTCCCTCTTAACATACAGACAATTATAACATGTAGGACAGAGTGTTTCCCTCCTAACATACAGACAATTATAACATGTAGGACTGAGTACTTCCCTCTTAACATACAGACAATTATAACATGTAGGACTGAGTGTTTCCCTCTTAACATACAGACAATTACAACATGTAGGACTGAGTGTTTCCCTCTTAACATACAGACAATTATAACATGTAGGACGGAGTGTTTCCCTCTTAACATACAGACAATTACAACATGTAGGACTGAGTGTTTCCCTCTTAACATACAGACAATTATAACATGTAGGACTGAGTACTTCCCTCTTAACATACAGACAATTACAACATGTAGGACTGAGTGTTTCCCTCTTAACATACAGACAATTATAACATGTAGGACTGAGTACTTCCCTCTTAACATACAGACAATTACAACATGTAGGACTGAGTGTTTCCCTCTTAACATACAGACAATTATAACATGTAGGACAGAGGACTTCCCTCTTAACATACAGACAATTATAACATGTAGGACTGAGTGTTTCCCTCTTAACATACAGACAATTATAACATGTAGGACTGAGTACTTCCCTCTTAACATACAGACAATTATAACATGTAGGACTGAGTGTTTCCCTCTTAACATACAGACAATTATAACATGTATGACTGAGTACTTCCCTCTTAACATACAGACAATTATAACATGTAGGACTGAGTACTTCCCTCTTAACATACAGACAATTATAACATGTAGGACGGAGTGTTTCCCTCTTAACATACAGACAATTATAACATGTAGGACTGAGTACTTCCCTCTTAACATACAGACAATTATAACATGTAGGACTGAGTGTTTCCCTCTTAACATACAGACAATTATAACATGTAGGACTGAGTACTTCCCTCTTAACATACAGACAATTATAACATGTAGGACGGAGTGTTTCCCTCTTAACATACAGACAATTATAACATGTAGGACTGAGTACTTCCCTCTTAACGTACAGACAATTATAACATGTAGGACGGAGTGTTTCCCTCTTAACATACAGACAATTATAACATGTAGGACGGAGTGTTTCCCTCTTAACATACAGACAATTATAACATGTAGGACTGACAGACTCACTGGTATAGATAGTTAAACCTTATAAGACTGACAGATTATAGAATGTCACACCTTTTCAGACAGAGGTTTTATACTTCTTTTGGTTGGTACACGTAAAATCTTGTCACACTAGAAGTTTTACTGGCAGAAGAGATCCAGCAGAGTTTTAGGACTCACACGCAGCACTGTATGACCCCTACCACATATAACTCCTTACTAGTTGACTTTTTTTATTTTTACCCTTTGCTGCTCTTTTTCTTTTATTTACACTTACACGTTATATCCAAGTAGAGAATGATCCATCCAGTATCTCTCAAACAAACTGATAATAAACTGAAAGATGAAAACCTTCTTTCGATCAGTCCAAAAACGGTCATTGCTCAACACAGGACCTTAGTAATCTTTCAAATAAAATACTGTCATATTCAAAATCAAAGATGTCTGCTTGTCATCTGTTTTGATTTTCTGATAAGTAACGAAAAACACACCACTAGGAACCTACATTTAGATTTGAGATTGATCCAATACTTCTCAATAATACGGGTATATCAAACTATAACAGTCAAATTCATTATGGCTGCCTGTCGGCCATTTTGTTTTTTTCTAATCAAGCAGTCTTAAATGGCCAGTGCACTGCCAAAGACAAAAGGGAACCTACGTATGAAATCTGAGCATGATCCATCCAGTTCCTGTCAAGAAATAGCTATCACAAAGTAAAACAAGTAAATAGTCAAAATCCAAGATGGCTACCAGTCAACTATATTGTTTTATGACTCAGTCTCAATGTAAAGAAGTACGACAGGTAGGGATGAAGGAGAACATAAATATGAAATATGGAAAAGAAAGATTTATCCAGTACTTCTCAAGAAATAGTAACAACAACCTTCATGTAAAACTGACAAATTCAAAGATGGATGCATCTGCAAAAACATAAGCATGTTCAGCAGTATAAAATTGACACTACTCTTTGCTTTGTGGTTGATTAGAAATAATCAGATTGCTTTTCTGGGTTTTCTCTCAATTTACCTTTATGATATAATAAAAATCATTTGTTTTTTTAATACAAACTTTGATCAATGACACTATCTACAGAAATAAGAAATTAGTCTAAACATGTATCAACATGGTGTCCATTAAAAAAGAAGATGCAAGGTTGGATAACATGAAAATATCATTGGTTTAGTCATATTAACTGATAATCAAACAACAACATAAACTAATGATGTAAAACAATATCAAGTATGTAAATTATTGGTTGGCAGATTGTTTGATTGGTTAGTTGGTTGGTGTGTTGTTGGTTGGTTGGTTTTTTAATTGGTTAGTTGGTTGGTGTGTTGTTGGTTGGTTGGTTTTTTAATTGGTTAGTTGGTTGGTGTGTTGTTTGTTGGTTGGTTTTTTAATTGGTTAGTTGGTTGGTGTGTTGTTGGTTGGTTGGTTTTTTAATTGGTTAGTTGGTTGGTGTGTTGTTGGTTGGTTGGTTTTTTAATTGGTTAGTTGGTTGGTGGGTTGTTTGTTGGTTGGTTTTTTAATTGGTTAGTTGGTTGGTGTGTTGTTGGTTGGTTGGGTTTTTAATTGGTTAGTTGGTTGGTGTGTTGTTTGTTGGTTGGTTTTTTAATTGGTTAGTTGGTTGGTGTGTTGTTTGTTGGTTGGTTTTTTAATTGGTTAGTTGGTTGGTGTGTTGTTGGTTGGTTGGTTTTTTAATTGGTTAGTTGGTTGGTGTGTGTTGTTGGTTGGTTGGTTTTTTAATTGGTTAGTTGGTTGGTGGGTTGTTTGTTGGTTGGTTTTTTAATTGGTTAGTTGGTTGGTGTGTTGTTGGTTGGTTGGTTTTTTAATTGGTTAGTTGGTTGGTGGGTTGTTTGTTGGTTGGTTTTTTAATTGGTTAGTTGGTTGGTGTGTTGTTTGTTGGTTGGTTGGTTTTTTAATTGGTTAGTTGGTTGGTGTGTTGTTTGTTGGTTGGTTTTTTAATTGGTTAGTTGGTTGGTGTGTTGTTGGTTGGTTGGTTTTTTAATTGGTTAGTTGGTTGGTGTGTTGTTGGTTGGTTGGTTTTTTAATTGGTTAGTTGGTTGGTGGGTTGTTTGTTGGTTGGTTTTTTAATTGGTTAGTTGGTTGGTTGATTGTTGTTTGGTTTGTTTGTTGGTTGGTTACAGATTTTACCTAACCATGGCTTCCTATCCCTAGGTATTGTCGCACAGACATACGTCAGTGTTCTGTATTGTGGTCAGAAACGGATTGTTTAAAGTCCCATCTAACAGGTTCATCATTGGTGTATAAAGTGTATTTGTACACATAGACATACATGTGCTTCATTTGTTTTGTGTCAAACACTATGTACACAACCAATATAGTGAAAATTAACTGTAACTCTTACAACAATCCAAGGGACATAATCCCTGTTGTCCAGAGCATCAAGACAAGATGAATAACATTTCAGCATCATTTACTGATGTAGAGTATCTTATCAAACACATACTGAGTTAGTCTTTCATATCATATATAGAATTAAGTATGTGATGTTTAATTATTTGCTGGCTGTTTCACCAAACAATTGCGGGAGGTAAATTTAATCCAAGCATTCTCATCAAGACACGTGATCTGTAAGAGCTAGATGTTTAAAAGAAGGTGTGTTTTCAAATATCTACTTATAAGATAGCAGAATAATTGGGCAACATTTGTCTAACTTTTTGAAAGATTAGGGAACAATTATTTTGTATTGTGACTGAGAATTTTTGTCTAAACACCTGTTTATCTATGAATCAGCATAGGTTGTCAATATATATCACCCACCAATGAGGAAGACATCTTGGCCAATAGCATCCTTCTGCATGATCCATCGGAGGTGTCGCAGCACTGACTGAGGTGGATTCTCAGGCAAATACTTCACTGGGATCAGTTCAGGTGCACGCCCCGCCCTTAGAGGCAAAGTTATGTCCCCGATACTGACCACGCCCTCTTTGGTAGCACTGTCAGAACACCAGCGAATGGCAAGTAAGGCGTCTTTACTAGCGTAGCCATCATGGAGGATCGTCTGGAGCACCTGAAAATTACAGTTGATATTAACATCAGGTCCTTTCAGCTGATTATATCTATGATCTGATATTGGTAATGGTCAGATGTGAAAAGGTACACTTGATCAAATGGGTTTTCCCAGAGTACTCTTGTTTCCACCTACAGTAAAGCCTTTAACACTTAAATACAAAGAATGATAAGTACTATGATTGCAGCTGTTGCAAAATGCAGCGGTAGATAAAATTAATACATACATACATATAATTTTATACATTTATCACATGATTGCCTTGTTATTCAGTGAACATACCCATGTAATATTTCTGTATATCACACATGTTTCATATAATACATTGCAAGATCAGGTTTGAATAAGGATATGATGTCACACACTAACAGAATGCATTGGTGGCATAAGATTTAGAGCAGAACATTGAAAAATAGTTAGAAGTGATTGAAAGAATGAATTGAAGATGACTATTCTTTTCAATATCTGTCTAAATTGATCATGTTTAAAAGGATTATGTACAGGTATACAGTAAGCAAACATATTCACTTCAAAAATGAGTAAAACAAGGAAATATCTCAATTGAACTAATTAAATTGCTGACCTCCATCACTGCCTTTTACAATGAACAACAGATTCTAGAGCCTTAATACATCCAGTTATGGAATCTAACTACAGTTAACTGCAACGGTCAAATTTTAAATTAGAATTATTTTTCCAATGAGACAGTCATACAAATCAAATATAGTGGTGACAAAGTTGATAATCAGTCACACATATTTCCAATTAAAACTAAGTACTTATGGTATTAAATAGATTGTTGTTTTTTTATTTTATTCTTTATAAAAATTGTAAAATTTATTACCAGTACAGGATCATTTGAGATTTCTTATATTGGACTCAAATATTCAATAATAATGATACAATAAATAAACTGATCCTGACAACAGTTAAAATTTCTTTTCAATTTCAGACTTATAATTATATGAGATCTTGATTTTCTGTTTGTTTATCTAAACTGTAACTTTTTTTAGGTTGTTGTTCCATATTTTGACTACGTGCAGACTACTTTACAATGCTGCAGAAACAGATGTCTTGAATTGCTTCTGATACTGTTTATTTCATAGCTGCTATCAGATAAAGTAAGAAAATTTGAAAAATGATGTAATGCACTGATTTATGTTATCATCATATATAATAGGTTCATTACATCAGGCAACATATCAGCGACACTCTTTCTTTAGGTACATAATATACAGCTTGATATACACCGGGGTCAATATATAGAACACTGGGGTCAATATATAGAACACTGTCAGTTACAGGTATATCAATGATCTGTATACCTCATGGTAGGTGTGTAAGTGAATACGTCTATACCAAGTAACAGAGATATAGAGACATAGATATTATATGCATTTTATATACAGATATTACTTGTCTTGAACTATAAGACACCTATGTTACCGTTCTCAAGAAATCTGAGATGTTGTGTACTTTTCTATACAGGTATGCTGAAACAACACAAATCTCTCTAACTGCTACAGTGCCTTGCAGTGATTTTTGGGACTCAGATATTACCGGGTAGGGTCCTTGACTCCTGCTTTTCTTATGGGACCCGCCTATATATCTTAGTACTGGAACTCATCAAAATCTTTGAAACAGTGTTCTGGAAATGCCTTAAAGATCCTACAAATTACTGCCTATATTCTCCCTTTCCCATCACCATCATACTTCAAGAATGTATTTTCTAATTCTAAACTTTTCTATGTTTTCTACATTTTCTAAGTACTAAAACTTACCTGGGTCAATAAATATACATTTTGGATAAATATTAAACAAGTGATATACCGACTATTTCACAGCTAAATTAGAAAGTGCTATCCTTCAGAATCTTTTAGCATATACATATTTACATATACTTATATACCTTGAACCCAGTTCACTTTTTATCAATGTGTAGATCAGGGTAAGAATGAGGTTTAGATCACACTGACACATACATACACACCATAAAGCAGGTAGAGAGTAAGAATATTAATTAACGCTAATTGCTGCCCCCAATGGCAGGATTTTAAGAGGCAACTTAATATGGAATGTTTCTTCTGGATGAAACTCACTTTTGGCTTATGAGCTGAGCGTCAGGCAAAAGGAAGAAGGCTCATAAGATCAGTCCCCATGTCATTTACATATTACAGTCATGCTATGTGCTCTAAAATTGCTGATTGTGGCCCATCACTCTAAACTCTCCACCATATTCTTTGTCAGTATAGCGTGATGGAATGGGTTAACATGTTACATTTTGTATGTCCTAGTTATATGATTTCAGTATGATTACACTATTAAAGTGTCCATCAGAGACCCCTTTGTGTTGAAATCTAATTTTGTTCACAAAAATGTTGTTGATGAGGAATGACAACCACTGTGTAAAATATGTAAGATAAAGTTACTCCATAACAAATACAGCAAATTAAAAAATTTAGAAAAAAATAAATGATATGAACATCATTAAAACAGCAGTGAGTTCAGTGAACAGCATGTATCATATCACTAGACCAATTCACCAAACATTTTTTTTTTATTTCATATAACTAGCTTTCAGGTTTAATGGACAATGTGATATCAAATTTCAATTTATGTATTGCATTTATACTGTAACAATTTTTCTAGTCTGGTGGAGAGGATCATAAGGACCTGTATCGGAAAATAAGTTAAACTATGTCAGAAGCCTAGAACAAGAAGATTTTCCACAGAGGAAATGTTTAAACTCTTGCTTTTATTAACCTCTACATGAACAATGCAATTGTTGATAACTAACTAAAGTTGTGCAACATTTATTATAGAAAAAACTACCAGCATAAAGTAACATCTTCATGTAACATATGATCATCACAACATTTTCCTACAACTAAAAATATGTCAGCTGTCTATATACTGAGGTGCCCTTACAAAGCTTTCCTGAGACTAGAGAGTTTGCAAATTTAAAATTACAGACTTGATAGAGTTACTTTCATTCCCATATGTGTTACTTTTTTCTCTCTCTCTATTCTATGTTCCTTTTTATTTTCAGTATTATTTTTTTGTGATAGTCCGAAAGTCAGAAGCAATATTTGACTAACTCTTGATATATTCTTGTTGAACCTGACCCTTGAAAAATTAGACTAGAGGAGAAAACAACATAAAATAGAGTTAATCTAAAATTCAATATTCATTTTGTAATAAGCAAATGCAATTAGTAAAATATAAAGATGCAACTATATATACTGTATTATACTGTATTATATGTCCCTGGTCGGACAACAGAATATTGCCTATTATCTCTGAGATGAAAATATAGGAAAGCAGTCGAAAATCACTTACAACCAATTAATAATTATACACAATTTAACCATTATATGTACATCAACCCGAAATTAACCTTGTTACTTTTAATTTGCTTTAAATACATGTAGATTAAAAGCCTTGTTTTAGCGTGATATATCTGCCGGTTTCGGTAATTAGTAACAGTACACATATATGCAGGGAATTACAAGTTCTACATTCTTTCAAGGCTTTGCCGTTTTGATATAAATGTTGAACTATTATAGCATCAAGATGAATAAACAAGAAAGAAAAGATGTAACTTGACATTTCCACTGTTATTAAGTGCCTTAGCAGTATACAGGTGTCCTAGTCAGTTACGTAAACAAATGTCTTTTGTATGAAATGTGTCATTCATATACCTTTAACCGGCGTATTGAGCGATCGACGCTCATCCTGGCTAAACGGAACATCTGTGGTCACTGATCGAAGGAAGCACAGGCGTTATATAGCACGATCGCAGGTAAACTTCATATCTTAGACCAAAGTCCAACGTGCCAAGGGCGCAGACATTTTGGATTTCGGAATACAAGTAATACCCTTCGGAGCATCTCTTGCTTTATCAACAATGCAATAACTGTAGTATAGGTAGCGAGATTTTCCAATTGCATACAATATCGAACCTCAGCTGAGACAGTATTTTCCTTCACATTTTCTTTTCCCTTATATATATTTATCCCTTATAACAAATAAAGTTGAATTATACCGAAACTGAATTTCTATCTTACAAGCAATATTTCTGCTACCCTACGAGGACGCAAGTTTTATCCATCTTAAAAAAGGAAAGAAAATGGACAGAAAAATCTTCAGTTTTCATATCTAGAGCTGTATACAGCAATGTAGATAGCATCCGAAATAAGTGGCGCGAATTGAAATCAATTATCAGTATGAAAAACTCTGCTATTGTAGCATTCACGGAGACGTTGGTAAAGAATAATTCAAGTGGCCTAGATAAAAGGACATACATTTATAAAAGTCTCTAATGCATCGACACCAACCCATGTAACTTACTATACAAGATACAGACATGGAAACATACCATCAGTTGTAAAAATGGTATTTACAAATGAGGAAGGAATGGTGGAGGATTTGATAGTTGGAGCAAATATGAAAGAATGGCCATGTTAGCTTAACGTTCAATGTGAATCTTTGTATTGCAGAACAGCAGTCAAATACACACTATGGAAATGCAATACGTGTTTAGAGATGGGTGAAAAGAAACTGAGAAGAGATGAATGAAAAGGATCTAAAGGAATCATTGACCTATACTGTGTTGACAAAATATTGATAAAATGTAAACCGGTACACAAAAATAGGTATGAAAGACTTCAAAAGCCATGGATGAACGAAACAACAATACAAACCTGACGCGAAAAAGAAGGGCATGACATAAGTACAGAGGTAACATGATTGAAAACACCATAGTAAACAATAAAGGTGCAAGAAATCGCTCCACTAGCGTACAACTACAAGCTGCTAAACAGTGGGAATAAAAGATAGCCACCGAATCCAAGACAAACCCTAAAAGCTTCTGAAGACGAAAACAAAAATAGGCATTCCGTCATCAAAGGCAGACCATGGTAGGTTCTTAACTTATGACAGTGATAAATCAGGTGTTTTCAGCTGGTGTTTTTGCACACCACAAACTAGTAATCAAAAAATGAATATAAGACAGGTAAGAATCAACGATGAAAAAAGTATTGACATAATTATCAAGACTGGATGCATCAAAAGTAGAAGCAGATGGAAATTATAACAAAATACTTCATGAAAAAAGAGCCATACTATACAAACTCTTGAATATTATACTTCACAAACTTGTTGAGGAAGTGAAGCTTTCAAACATAACGGGAAGCCAACATTACTGATATTTTTGAAAAAAAGTGGTAAAAAGAATCCGATTAACTTTACACCTGTTAGTTTGACAGGATAGAATAAAATTATGGACTGAATTTAGAGGGACAGCATTATGGGATACTTGGAGCATAACAACCGGCTGGACAATGATCAACATGGATTCCGCAAAGATAGGCCAACGAAATTATAGGTTTTGATGACATAACAAAGAAAAAAGGGCGAGGGAAATACGACAAAGATAATGTATTCAGATTTTCAAAAAGCTTTTGACTCCGATATGTGGAACAAGCAACGACAACAAGGACATGGGTGAACTATAAAATGACCTTGACAACCTAGGAGAATTATCCAAAAAGTGTCTGAACTTTAATTCAACAAGGAGATCAAGAAAAATGATCTATGAGTCACATCTGACACTGATATTCGATTCAGCTACCATATAGCCAGTAATTTTGTTTTGTTCTGCACCTAATGGACATGGTTTACGACCCAACAGCGACCAGGATTAGCCCTCAGAGAACTACAGTGACCAGGGCTAGCTTACAGAGACCTGCAGTGATCAGGATTAGCCTTCAGAGACCTACAGTGATCAGGATTAGCCTTCAGAGACCTGCAGTGATCAGGATTAGCCTTCATTCATAGACCTACAGTGACCAGGATTAGCCTTCAGAGACCTACAGTGACCAGGATTAGCCTACAGAGACCTACAGTGACCAGGATTAGCCTACAGAGACCTACAGTGACCAAGCTGGATCTTCAGAGTCAGACATAGATCTAAAACTAGGCAGTTGTCACTAAGGATATGATTCATCTTCTGATGATGCATACCGCTCCTCTAGTAATAGACCATTTTCTCCGTGGGAGAAGTGTTGTATCATACGAATGCAGTAACAGAGGTAAAATTTAATACAAAATACTTTAATTGACCTTTTGCTTTAAAAAAAGTAGGCGAGGTTTCAGTCATATTGACATCATTTAAATGGAATTACTTAAGTAAACGTAATCAAAAATATCTTATTTAACTTGTATCTAAAAGGTTTAGTTAATTTAAACAATGATATATGTAAACAAAACGTTAATTCATTTAATAGATATCGTAAACTATCATACATAAATATTGTCTAACTGGTTGTGTGATATGATCATCCATTCAATACATAAATCTAACTATTATTTTCTTCGACAGCAGGATGTTTCGAATGTGCTCCTAGCAGCATCTGTTGTTGTAAATGATGGTATTGAGGAGGAATGTAAGTCTAACACCCCACACGATATTTGTCTCTTACAGTCCATCATGATGAGACTTCTCATTAAAGTCACACAGAAATTACATCCAACTTACAGAAGTGGATTTTTAGGTATTATAGAATCAGTAACTATCTACAAGTTATACATAGTAATGAAAGTTAATAATGATAAATATTTTGTTCATTATATTTACTGAAAGTTTTAAGGAAACTCGTTTTATTCAATTACCCTGTTTCTGATCAGACAAAAAATATATATGCCTTTCCAATTTCTGCCTGAAAAATATGGGTCGGTATGAAGGGATTTTTCATTTTTTTCTTCGTGCTGTTTGCTTGATTTTGACACCTACTTCTCAAGTACGGTATATTGATTAGGTTATGGTTTATATCCGTACGTGTGTTAAATGAGTAATCGTTTTTCTTTTTTTTCAGATTTCCACTGTATATCAGTAAAGCTGTACGTGAATATGTGTGACATCGATTACACGTCACATTCTCAAGCATTCTGTAATGAATCAAGAAACGGGTGCGTTTAGTTGAATCGTCCGGACCAACAACGACCCGGAAAGGTAAGAATCGGCATCTAAATTTCAGAGTCAATGACTTCAAGGTATGTAAACTTATGAATGATTAAATCCAGTGCATTCACAAACTATTGATATGCATTGCAGATAGATCAGAAGGTGAATATAGATATAATAATTGGATACGTAATAATTTCAATAGATAACTGGTATATGAATAAGAACAAAATGAAGTATTCAAACATATAACATAAACATGTTTATGTATATATGCACGTCTAGATCTGGATCCTTACCAACGAGGTCTCAATATTCATTAAAGCAATTCAGAATTGTTGTCAGGTGTTCATATCACGTAATTAGACAATTTGCCACTAAGGTCATGACGAGAAAGTTCCAGCTGTCTATTTGTAAAACTTACAAAACTTCCTTTTTTGGGGATGTCTTGGTGGTGTGATGGTTAGGCAGTCTGGAATTTCCTAGCTTGTCGATTTGGTGCCGTAGGCCCGGACAGGACACAAGTCAAAATGGTCTTCCTTCGTTAATTGTGTTACAATGTCCAAAATATATAACTCAAAGCTTCTTAGTGATGTAACAAGAAAAACATTAAACTGCAAAATCGGATGTCGTTTTATTGAAAATCGAAGATTCACGAATTTTTATGAACTTAGAACAGTTTCCCTGCTTATTTTTGACACCAAACCAAATTCAAAGATTTTTCCCTTGAACTCCATTATTGCTTTTGCAATGACAAACGTATTCAGAGACTTGAACCTACCAGCAAAAGGGAACTAAATGTAACGACTTTAACCGTGACTGTTTGAGAGTTATTTCCCTTCCACCTATCAAGCCTCAGCCTGTTTATCCTCAGCTATCCTTTCTGATATTTTCCGAAACCGTTTCTGAATTTTCATTGTTTTAGTTTCTACTAATGAGTAATATGTTAAAGAACAGCAATAGAGTGTAGAGATTGTTTACATTTTAAGTTTTGTTTACCAACTTGCAATTAGTGCTTCCGTTGTTTTTCTATTTTATTGTTTGTTTTTTGTTTGTTTTTTTTTTCAATTTGGTTTAAGTCAGCTAGCAGACCGTCAGCTATGAATTTGTTTAAGGTAGGGTCTCAAACCTTAAGGACGGCCATGACTCTGTAGAAGATAGACTTTAAGTCACCGAGGTCAGCCCTAAATTTGTTACATATAAATTCGAACTGTCAGTCTCCGAAGCCATGACTTTGCAGCAGTTGGACTGGTAGTACGAGAGGTCAGCAACGACGTTGTAACACATTAACTGACAGTATTCGAAGTGATGAGTTGTCACTATTTTTGTTGTGTTTGATCAATATATCTGAAAGTAAAATTAAACGACTTTGCAAGGTCTTTGTGACCTGTTTCCAATAGCACTTCGATGAATTCAGCTTTATAGGAAAACAAAAACAAGTCAGCAGACAGAGGAACACAGTCTGTTCCCAAATATATACCAATGGGGATCTTAACACCAACCGCGATGACGATGTTGTCTTCCAGATACTCGATCATTAAGATCATGTATATTTCTTCTAGGTTTGGATGGATTTTCTACGAAATACGCTTAAGCATAGTTTACAACCATTTATTTTGTACCGCCGTTCACCTTTCTTATTGATAAATTGAAATGTTTGATAAGCACGTGGAGGCGCTAATTTGACGGAATCAAGAGAATTATTGGAGATGTTACATGTATGTTGATGAAGACGATTACAGTTCATGAGAAAAATGAAAAAAATCTAATATCTTGTATGTTGATCGT